TTTCTCCTCGACAAGCGATACGCTAAGTGCAGTTCACAAACAAAAATTATCATCGCGAGTGCATCATATGCTCCATCTGGTCATAATTATATACAGTATTGTGGAGGAAAATGTCATCATTGCAAGTAATTCACCATCATATATTTAAAACAGTCATCATTGCAAGCAATTCACCATCATATATTTAAAACAGTCATCATTGCAAGTAATTCACCATCATATATTTAAAACAGTCATCATTGCAAGCAATTCACCATCATATTTTTAAAACATAGTCATCATTGCAAGCAATTCACCATCATATATTTAAAACATAGTCACCATTGCAAGCAATTCACCATCATATATTTAAAACATAATCATCACTGCAAGAAATCGTGAGTAATTCGTTCTCATTTGAGAGATAAGCATAAATGATCAATGATGAGGGCAAATGATCATTGATGAACGACGCCGAGTTCGTGGCTGCACTGATAATCTGTACAACGAGGCAGATTTTCTCTATTCGCCAGGTTCACAAAAGGCAGGAAATTCGTTCTTTTCAGTCGCAGAGCCGACGCTTCCGTCACAAACTTCTTGCCTGCTGTTCTAAAGGAACTCGACTGTGAGAAGACCGAGTATATTTGAAGCTACTTATATTGTGCAGTGAAAAAAACTTATTGCCAGAACGTTACCACAGTTTTATTGAATATAAGTTCGCGCATTCATATTAGTTTAGATAAAAACAAATAAACACTGTTTTCCCTATTAAATACACACATTTCTATTCAAAAGCCTTAATTTTAATTTGCGTAAGTTATTTTATGAGCGCGATATCAAATTATATCGAAAAAACGAGGAATATCAAGAATTCGATGAGCAAAGACTTGGATAGCCTTTATTCAATCAGCTAGCGACTTGAACAGAGACTGAGGGTGGAAATCTCTTCGATAAAGTCTTAAGTGAGCGTGAATGTACGTGATATTCAAAGAAGTTACTGTAGAAGAATGCTTGTAGACTGACAAGTGAACGCATGGGGAGACGAAGTTTGAAGCAAAGCTACAATCATTTGGAGGAAAAGTTCAATACAATATAGTCGATGATTGATTATTATTGTAATGAGGACGTTAAATTTTATGTGGCTGGATAGCAAAAAAAATCGTTATAATTTAAGACAATAGTTTATGAATTGAAAAGCAATATTTAATGATTAAGATAAATATTGAGCCTCAATGAAACCTATTAATAACTTAATAATTTAAAACCTTCAAATAACTAGCTTTACTTATAGGGTAATAATTGAATCTCCCACATAAATTAATGGAATACATGAAATAATCCTAATTAAGCAAGCAAAAAAAAAAAAATTCCAGGTTAGACGGCGGCTCTTAACCGTGGCGTTACTGATTAAAAAAAAAAACATGATTTCGGAACGACGATCACTAAATTTTTAAGCAATAAATTGCCGAAGTAATATAACTTTATAACATTTATTTAGAGCCATAAAATTTCAGGAATCTTGATACAGCTAAAAGGATGTTTGGAGCCATAGATAAAATCAATAATTTATTCATTCGAAATCTTTTTCCCATTTCACACCGACACGTTATCATTATAAATTCAAGTCGCCATGCCGCGTTCAATTAATTGATTTGATTGTGCATGCGTCAAATCACCGCACGCATTAAAAAAATCGAACCCCAGCGGCAAGATCAATTTGCAACTCACGTAGGAATAGCGTTATAAAAAGTTCGTTGGCTTTAGTAGTAAAAGGATAAAATTTGCAACTCACGTAGGAATAGCGTTGTAAAAAGTTCGTTGGCTTTAGTAGTAAAAGGATAGTGCGACGCTCCAAAGATCAAGGACGTATAAACAGGCAATGCATCAGCAGACGCCCATACACATGAGCCTTAGCTTTGTGGAACCAATAAGTGAGAATGAATTTTACCAGAATTATTCCCGTATTATTCCCAAGCATGCATGTTCTGAGGATTAAATTTATACCCCCTAAAAATAAGTTACTACTTCCCAAATATAAATTACTAGTTTTATAAATACAAAGCAGCGCAGTTGAAAATTACAGGGTTTAATTGCAAAATTTTGATATTGAGTGAAACCAAAATAATGTGATAAAAACAGAGGAAAATAATTTTTCATAAAAACAACATATTCAAAATTAAAATGACTTTCATACTATCTCAGACAAAAGATTCACTTCTAATTTAATCCAGAATTTTTGAGGATAAATTTTAATTAAATTAACAATTAAATATAGAAATGCCTCTCGTTGCGACGTCGAACGCAAGATTCACTTCTAATTTCCTCCAGAATTACCTACCAGTTTTAAAATAAAGATGAAATTTATAACGCCAACATTTATAACGCTCGGTTTTAATCAGGGACAGCTTCAGCTTCACCCTCATTTTATAACTCCCAGTTCATCAATTCTTATATCAGCATCATTATTACAGTTGAATTCATGAAGCATTGGTAGGAATGCTTTAAAGCCCCAGTAGTGATTAGTCTAGATGTGTTCGACAGTGCGGCTGGTTTCGAGTTTTTAGGCCACGAATATGTTTTACTGTGTAATGATACTTTTATTATATACTCAATTTATCATCTTTATGAAACGTTTTTCAGATTATACTGAATGCGCAATTTTCGTGAAACGTTGTTCAGAGTATGCTCAATGCGTCATCTTCATGTAACGTTTTTCAGCGTATACTCAATGCATCATCTTCATGAAACTTATTCAGAGTATACTCAATGCGTCATCTTCATGTAACGTTTTTCAGAGTATACTCAATGCGTCATCTTCATGTAACGTTTTTCAGAGTATACTCAATATACATAAATACATTTTCAAACATTCACAATTGTGTTTCATTTCATAGTTCTAACCACTCAAAGTTGTAACGCTAAATATTGATGACCCTGTATACTGAATGCGTCATCTTCATGTAACGTTTTTCAGCGTTTACTCAATGCGTCATCTTTATGAAACGTTTTTCAGAGTATACTCAATGCGTCCTTTTTATGCAACGTTTTTCCAGAGTATACTGAATGCGTCATCGTCATGTAACGTTTTTCAGCGTATACTCAATGCGTCATCTTTATGAAACTTTTTCAGAGTATACTCAATGCGTCATCTTCATGAAACGTTTTTCAGAGTTTACTCAATGCGTCATTTTGTGAAAAGATTTTCAGAGTATACTCAATGCGTCATGTTCATTAAACGTTTTTCAAAGCGTACTTTATGCGTCATCTTCATGAAACGTTTCTTTGAGCGTATCTTTATGACGCATTTCCTGCGCAACGCCGGCCAAGCATGACCTGCTCGAATGCTCAAGGCTAAAGCTATCACAGTCTTGCCTGATTTGAAGCTTTAGCTCTTCATTTGCAAAAGAAAATTTCAATCACTATTTTCCCAGTGCAATTCATACCAAAATTATACAGTGAAATGGGCAGTTCAGACCAAAAGCTGACGAGCAACTGGAACCACGAGGTGCTAAAATTAAAAACTTCTGTTGCGCAAATATAAATAGATTATAATAAACGCGTGGTTCACGCAATGAAGTGGAGGCTGCGTAACAATTCAAGGCGAAGGCTGCGTAACAAGACGCAGGTCGCGTAACAAAGCGCAGGCCACGTAACAAGGCGCAGGCCACGTAACAAGGCGCAGGCCGCGTAACAAGGCGCAGGCCGCGTAACAAGGCGCAGGCCGCGTAACAAGACGCAGGCCGCGTAACGAGGCGCAGGCTGCGTAACAAGACGCAGGCCGCGTAACAAGACGCAGGCTGCGTAACAGCACCTGTCGCGTTACGCGGTCACGCGACGCTGTTTCATTACTGGAGCAAAGCTGAGCTATTCAACAGAAACTTTGTAATTTCATTAAAATTCCTTCTATAAAAGGAAACATTTAATGGATTCCATAAAAAAATTCATCTGAAAGGATCCCATGAAATCCTTTCAGTTTGAGTTCTTTGAAAAAATAATGTTAATTATAGGAACCATATATACAAAACTCAACGTCTCATTAATTAGAACTATGACTTTTCTATTCTACGCACTACTCTGCTATATTAACAGAGCAAAGCTGAGCTCTTCACTTGAATTCCTGTGATTTTATTGAGAATTTTAATAATAATATACATTACAGTTTTAGTTTTTGATTACATGACAAGGATTATGGTAAGCTTGGTAACGAAATAAATTTTACATTTTGAGCGTTCGATGATATAATCTTAATTATAATAAGCATAATTTGGGTAGGAATGGAAATCAAAATGAAAGACGTTATTTACCTGGCGGAAATCGCTTTGTATCAAACACGAATTATGTTACCATGAAAATGCTTGAATTCCTAAAATTCAAATGCAGTGAGGGTTACCAGCGAAAAAATATTTCTAGAGAAAAAAGTTGGAGACGAGAAATGGATGACAAGAATTTGGTGAAAGAGAATAATATCTCGAGTGAGATGAAACTTTCCTACATCGTGTAACGATTACCTATGAATCGGTATACATATACTTGCCAGATAGAGGATTTACCCTCATAAATATAGCATAAATAATAACACAAAAGATAAAACAGAATCGAAAACGAAGAGGAATTCAACACTCAAGAAACGAACGGCGGCAATATAAATTAAATTGAGATTGGATGAATATATTAGAATCATAGCGGCATTTTGGAAGCACTCTGACTGCAGTGTGATTTTTATACATTCTGGATACGGAACAGAAAAGTATATTATTACGCAGTAGATAAGTAGAATATTACGCAGTATATATGTAGATTATTATTCAGTAGACGAGTTAGCTTATAACTCAGTAGATATGTAGGTTTTCACGCAGTAGGTTATTACTCAGTAGATATGTAGGTTATCATGCAGTAGGTTATTACTCTGTAGATTATTACTCAGCACATTACTACTCAGTAGATTATTCCTCAGTAGATTATCACTCAGTAGATAGGTAGATTATCACTCAGTAGACAGGCATTTCAAGCCAGCAACTCACTGGTCCTGACGCAGTCGTCTGAGCTGTGCCTTGTGGTCAGCGAGCTGCACGGCGAGGTGGCTGCTGCTGGCGTTCAGAGACTCGGCGTCTGTGCTGTCGTCGCCACTCACGCTCCCTCCACACGCCACTCGCAGCCACTCCTGACAAATTAAGAGAGCTTATCAATACAATTATATTACATAGTTATAATATAATTGTAAATTATGTTACAATTACAGTAAATTGTAATTGTAAAATGTAATACAATTATTTTACATAGTTGTTTCAGTAATTTTAGTTCATTATATGTTGGTTGAAAACATATAGGAGTTCGAAGGTATTGCGAAATTTAGTCGAATAAAATGAAGGCCAATGAATCTACGCACAGTAATTCAAAAGTCGTTTGAGTCGATGAATTAATTATTGTATCCACGTACGTTCAAATATGTACAATTACGCATACATCTGCCAATATACGTTTTAATAAATGGCGATAGGCAAGTATGATTCAAGTTGCAATGAATATTGCACTTTCAATAGAAACATAATACACGCAATAAAAAATGCTTTAAATAGGCATATTCATTCATAGGGCAGACGCTACACTCACCAGGCAGACGCAACACTCACCAGGCAGACGCTAGCAGTTAGTCTGGTGAGGTGGGCGACTAGCAGACGGAAGGCTTCGTTCAAGCGACCCTCAGGCACGCCTTCCACGGAACTCCACTCCGAGGGCCAAACGCTCTCAGGGTTGTCCGTGACCTGCCGACGGACAGGAGAAGATATCTTTAGTTATTACCAGTTAGTTATTAGTGCACTACTAGTTAGTAGTGCACTAAGTAGTAGTGTACTAGGTAGTAGTGTACTAGGTAGTAGTGTAAGTAGTAGTGCACTAGGTAGTAGCGTAAGTAGTAGTGCACTAGGTAGTAGTGTTAAGTAGTAGTGTACTAGTAGTAGTGCACTAACAGCGACTACTAGTTAGTAGTGCACTACCAGTTAAGGTAGTGCAAGACGTGACTGCGTCACAAGAACTGGAACAAGTTAGGAGTGTTTGTAGATTGTTTTGGGATTGATAATGCTTTCTGTACGACAAGTAAGGCAAGATCGAAATAATCGGTTCAATATATCAAAATCATCAATACATCAATTACATCATTCATTCAAAAATACGTCAGTTTCATTTGGTGAGTATAAGCCAGATAACTTGTTTCTTAATAAGCTTATAAGCCACTTAATTAATCAGAAATACGCTAACAAGCTTCATCATGCGTATTTTTCTTGTAATCGACAGTTACTACTTGAATTCCAGCAGCAGAATAATTTTTAAAAAATATCGATAACATCTGACATAACTTTTAGTCAAAATTGATTCAAAATTAAAGGCAGGTTTTTGTAACTAACTATTAAATATCCCCAAATAAAAATTGCAACCGTTTTGCGGAATAGCAATTTGAATAATTAATACACGCAAGCACTATGGAACACGATTTAGACGGAAATCAGTTAAATCGAATAATACTTCACAAAATTTACAAGCAAAGCGACGCAAGGCCTCTCAAATTGTAAATAATTTGAGAGAAACAACTGAATTTCCTTCAAATTGGTAACAATGAACAGAGAACCTTGGCGAACTAACAACGATTGATGAGGCTTAACTCAAAAGGACGACGAAAAATATCGCATTTCAGGGCACGAGAGAAAAAAACCGTTCCAGGCCATTAATTTGATACATGACATGAACAGAAAGTTGTGAACAAAACTGCTTGTTGTTGACGTTTTTAGTCGGGTAAAAAATATAGCTAGTATTTCATTTACGTAAGGGAAAACAGAATGGAAATGTTATTGGGCATTAAACATTTATTTCTTTATTTTTTACAGAGCTATTGTAATTAAGTACTGTACGTTATTTATGTAGGGGAGTACAAATTTTTGAGAAATAAAGAATATCTTCATTAAGGACATTGCTGAGATCTACTTTATCTCGAGACTTTAAAGTCAAACCTTCAAGACAAAGAGTCAAGCACGAGTGACTGCGCGAACAACAGACTTCGTTTTTCTATGGGGGCCGGCAGGACGATAAGTAAATTTCTCGTAGACAAAGATTCGAGAAAGAATGTGCATTAATTCGAAAAAATATAAGGATTTTTTCAACTAAAATAGGACATTCAGTAGATTATCCGGATTCAATAAATTAATGCACCAGAGTAAACAAACGTAAAAAATGAAAAGAGGAAAATCAAGAACTGTGCAGTAGATGTAACCATTAATTTTTTCGAAAAGAGAAACGAAGCTGCATGCATGACCTAATTTCAAATCGGTAATTTTTACGACATGTTTTGTACAGGTGAATCCCTCCAAACTGTAATTGAATGACAATACGGTATCGGAGATCTTGCGAAATATCATCCAACCGAAAAACAACAACAGCCAAGTTCCAATTGAAAAATAAACGTAGACACTCACTATCCACCTAAAAATCCAACAATGAAATTACAGAGAAAAACTATTTAACAGAATAGAGGAAATAACAAGGAACAAACAACAAGAATTAAGTGACCAAAGCTCATGTTGAAGTGGAAATAGATTTATAGTGAAACGCGCACTGAGACGATATAACGCAGCTACGCTGGGAACTGCAACGCGTTTTAAGTAGTTATCCTCGTATCAATGCGGATGCTCAGGCATTAGAGGTGAGTCTCGATGTTTCTGCTACCCAATCTGTTCAATTACCGAATGACGGTTTACATGCAAGTAATGGTTTCTTGTTCATTTCAGAAGCGTGGCAAGCAGTGTACATTACAGTGGCGGAAATGGCTATACGACCACCCGGTTTTTTCTTGATATTTTTTCTTGCACAAAAAAAAATACTGGATTCCAATTACACGGGGCTAAACTACGTTTAAAAACGGTTCCAACGCTATACGAAAAAATAAATTTTTCAAATATATATGAGAAGAAATGATGAAATTTAGAAAAACCTAGGTGGAAATGGTTATAAGACCATGATGGGATTTTCTTTATTTTAGTATCTTTCTATAATATTTTCACGTTAAAAAGTACAGCAACATAAAGATTATCCTGATTTTCGCCATTTAGGGTACTTCTGGTGTAGTTTAGTGTTTAATATTTTTTCGAAGATAAATGATGCCAAAGGGAACAAGACTTACAGAGGCCGAGAAGCCGCAGATTGCATGTGGCCTTTGCGAAATACGGTAGAAGCCAACGGGACATTGCAAAGGAAATAAAACGATCAAAAACCAATGTACAATCATTTTTTGCTAATTCGGACGGCTACGGATCAAAAATGCACCCTAGCTAGACCATCTCCAAAATTAACCGACAGAGATCTTAGGTGACTGTTTTCGGAGGCTTCTAAAGCTGTCGCTACCTCTACTTCTATAAAATTGGCCACTGGAGTTGATGTGACTGCACGACGTATCCGCCAGATATTGCATGACTCTAAGAAATTCAAGTACATGAAGCGGAAAAATGCCCCTATGCTCAAACAAAAGCATGTTATCAACCTACTAAAACTAGCTGAAAAAAATGTGTTTATCGGTGATCGATTATCCTCAGTGATGAAAATTTTGATGGTGAGGGAACATCTTCAGTTCAGTTTTGATGGTCCAGATGGATGGCAATGCTATTGACACCACCTAAACAGTGAGCCTGAATTCTTTTCCAAGCGGCAATCTGGTGTTAGTTCGGTCATGGTTTGGGGGGCGTTCAGCCGAAAGGGAAAATCAACTCTAGCTATTTTACGTTGGAGACAAGATTCAGGGGCATACAAGCACACGCTATTTCACCATCTTCTCCCTTTTGCCGATGAGAAGTATGAGGGATCATATGTTTTCCATCAAGACAATGCTTCGATTCATACTGCAAAGTCAGCAAAAAAGTGGTTCCAAGAGCAGAATATTTCCCTGTTGCTTTGGCTAGTGCTTAGTCCTGACTTCAACCCCATTGAAAACCTGTGGGTCATCATGGCGAGGGATGTTTACCAAAATGAGCGCCAGTTCCAATCTGTGAGTGACCTGAGCACAACTATCCTTCGTTTCTGGAATAAAATTTCTCAAAAAACCCTGAATTGTTTTATAAATCGCATGGGGAGAAGATGCATGGAGGTAATAAAGGCGAAAGGAATTAATTTTGCCTATTACAACAAGTGTATGGGATCCAAAAACGGAAAAACCTATCATAGTCTTATAACAATTTCCACCTAGGTTTTTCTAATTTTCATCATTTCTTCTTGTATATCTGAAAATCTTGTATATCTATCGCCACTGTAATCACCATGTTCAATCAAAAGCTGGCAGTACACACATTACATATCATAATTCATGGGAACGGAATATAACCTAGTTTAAATACGAGAATGTGAATAATTAGACAAAATAATAATGCTGAAATATCCGTAGAAAAAACCATAACTGAGGACTCACGAACCTGCAATGTGTTTGGCATTTTGTTCCATGATCAAATGTTGTCTTGAGACTCTAGATGCACGTTCAATAATGTTACAAAAACAACAAGTTTTTCACTGTCGACATTTTAATAAATTTTCCATGTAAAAGCCAGATGGAATGTGCGATCACATGAACCTGATGCATTCTTTGTGATTATTTCTTCTAAAAAAGTTTTCAATAAATTAATAATGAAGAAATCAAAACTAATCGTCACAATATCTTCGATATAATTAATTCATAAAATTGTATCAAAAAAGCAAATATAACGGCAAACAAAAATTGCAGTGTCTTGATTTATGGGCCGATTATCTTATAACCGCTAATAATTTTCCATAGACTACTCAGGATTCATTAATAACATAAGCTAGCGGCTTGGCGAACAAAGGCTCAACGATGACGCACAAATAAAGACTGCAAAAAAGATTTTAACCGCAAAGCACCGCATAGCGGCGAGAGGAAGCGAGCGTTTCGCAGAGACGACTATCATTACGAGAGAAAACCTCGCTACTCAATCGGGCACGCCATACGAGCCTCATATCAATAGAAAAATTTGGTTACCATTTAAAAACGCACAATAATTTCGAATGAAATATAATTTTTTACACTTAATTTAGCTATGAAATGAATCGCGTTAGGATTTTTATTAAAAGTATGGTTGTAAATTCAGGTTTCTAAAAAATATTAAAAAAATATATATGGGGATAAATCATTTAGAGGACTAAATTTTCGCAAAGCTCATTCAATAACTAATTAACTACACACCACGCCATTTTCCACAACTGCCCCGAAAAATTCTCTTTTGTGCGAAGTGCGAACTAAATGCCCCTTATAACGTTAAATATTCACATGGTTGAACATAAACACATTCAAATGGACGTGCACCTACTTCGTTTCAACATTATATATGATAATCCAACCTAGCTTGCACGAAAATTTCCGTACCAAATTGACGCCTTACACTCAGAGAAATATTGGGTCACGTTATCCTAAAAGTGACACTTTCCGCACGTAGTACCAATGCGCCCTTTTCCCAGGGGAGAAACTGGGTCAGAGTGATCCAAACAGAGAAAAAATGCATCGCAATTTGGACTAAGTCGGGCACATTTTTCAATAAAATTGAATTATTTTACTTATCTGAAAAACTCTTATCTTGATCCTGATGATCAATTTCATGTTTTTTTTATCGTCGGAAGAGGAAAAAACAATCAATACCAAGTAACCAGTATAAACACAAAGCAGTGATTTTGCCGAGCTTAATATAATTATAATCACGTCCTACGCGAGTAATTCAGCGGC